GAGAGCATGATCGTCGTCAAAGCTTCCACCCGTTACTAGCGCTGAGGGCGTGTGGTGGTCAAAATGTGGCTCTCGCCCCATCGCCGCGCACATTCGTCTGAGAAGCTTGCATCAGCACAAGAATGGAGGGCGGGTGGTCTTCAAACTGTAGCTCTTGCCCTAGCGCCGCGCACATCAGTCGAGGTTGCTTCCAGGAGCTACTGGGATGGAGGGCGGCGTCTGTTCGACCTGGGGCTCTTGCTTGAGACGTTGTAACGCACGGAGGGCGGATCCTCTTCGAAACTAAAGCTCGTACATGAGGCCTGATCAATTCACAAATGGCCAAAAATGCCAAAACGGAGGAAGGGCTACACGGATGCATGGCGATCATTTCCAGGATGCACATATCGCTGAACAGGCCTTGACATTATTGAAGGGGCCCCAGGACACACAAATAGATACACACAAATAAAAAGATTCCCCATATTTTCCCATATTTTCTGGGTTGGTGTCTTCCCCCCCCACTTCCAGTATTTTCCCATATTTTCTGGGGAATCGACGATTCCTTGTGTCTGTGTGTTTTTTTCCCTCCTGAATGATGTGGTCCCACCTCGTGGCACTTCCTATGGCTGGAACTGCAAGGCGGCTCGTGTTCAAAATGGGCCCGAGCGCCACGCCCGTGGGGCTCACGTCTTCCGAGCGGGGTCGTCCCGCAGCGAACAAAAAAACGCCCGAAGGGACGAATGGTGAGGGGGGGCTTCAGGGGCGGGAGGGCGCACGGCAGCGTCGACGTGGAGCCCAGGGAGTGCTCTGGTCCTCCTCGCCCCGGCCCCCGCCCTCTCGGAGCACACGCTGACGTGGACTACGGATCCGCAGATCTGGCGCGCGGGAGCCAGATCTTACCAGCCTGGGACATATCCCCATCCCTAAGATTGACACGCCAAAAGGCGATGACAATCTTGGGGATTCGCCCTCAAAAACTGAGGAAATCCCTAAGATTGGCATCGTGATGAGGAGGTGCCCAGCACAGGGATAGGGATATGTTCCAGGCTGGTAAAGATCCACGGCTCGGAGAGAGTACCACCCGAAGCACGAGGCCAGTGCCGGCTGAGCTCCGATGTGGCGACGGAGCGCGCCGCTTCTGCATGCACACGGGGCCCGTCGCTAATCCGCGCGCCTTCATCCGTGTTTGCGCTTCCTCGGTTCTCGTCGCCCTCCCCATCGCCCAACTGCTTGTACTCCTGCTTTCTCCTCCTCCTCCTCCTCCTCCTCATCATCATCATCATCATCAGCAGCAGCAGCAGCATCATCGACATCATCAGCATCAGCATCATCATGAGCAGCAGCAGCAACATCATCATCCTCATCAGCATCATCATCATCATCATCATCATCATCATCATCATCATCATCATCATCATCATCAGCAGCAGCATCATCATCATCATCATCAGCATCAGCATCAGCATCAGCATCATCATCATCATCATCATCATCAGCATCATCATCATCATCAGCTTCAGCATCAGCATCAGCATCAGCATCAGCATCGGCATCAGCATCAGCATCAGCATCAGCAGCATCATCATCATCATCATCATCAGCATCATCATCATCTCCCACCTCCTCCTCCTCCTCCTCCTCCTCCTCCTCCTCCTCCTCCTCCTCCTCCTCCTCCTCCTCTTCCTCCTTGCCCACGGAGGCTTTCGGGTCACAATCCTGGTCTCCGGCGGAAGTTCGGGTCAATTAGGGCACTCCTGGACGCCTCTCTGCGAGGCGCAGCTGCTGGAGGGCGCCCGAGAACCGACGAAAACGTCCGAGAACCTCCTCCTCCTCCTCCTCCTCCTCCTCCTCGCCCTCGTCTTCGTCGTCCCTCGATTGGCGCCCTCGGAGGCGATGCCGCCCGCCCTCCCCCGAGCTCGCCCTGCCGACCGCACGACCCGCTCCCCGGCACCGTGCCCTCTCAGCGTCGCCGTCGTCGTCGGTCGTCGTGGCCGCCGTGGCCCGTCGTAGATCGGGGGTGGGCGGTCGACGGTCGACGGTCGTCGGTTGACGTTCGTCGGTCGTCGGCGATGGTCGGTCGGCGGTCGTCGAACGCCAGCCGCGGGTCATCGTCGGTCGACTATCGACTGTCGTCGATCGGTCGTCGGTCGTGGCCGTCGTCGGCCCTCATCGTCTCGACGGGCTGATCGTGGGCGGGGGCCTTCGCTGCGCCCCGCGCTCCACACGGAGTGCATCGAGCGGCGAGGACCCCATGGAGAGGCAGGCGGTGGAGGGGCCTCTTCGGGTGACAGGCAGGGAGGAGGGTCGGCGAGGCGGGGGCGGCCGAGCGAGGGTCGGCGAGGCGGACCCCTCCACTTCCTCCCCCGCTTCGTCTTCCTCCTCCTCCTCCTCCTCCTCTTCCTCCTCCTCCTCCTCCTCCTCCTCCTCCTCCTCCTCCTCCTCCTCCTCCTCCTCCTCCTCCTCCTCCACCCCCCTCCTCCTCGTCTCCTCCTCCCCCTTCTCCTCCTCCTCCTCCTCC